CATTAGAACCTGTTCATTGTCATATCAGACCAGATCCCGGACCAAAATCGATTTGAACGCCTGATAGTAAAGAAATCACGCCTACAAAATTTATCGTATTCTACGATATCCATTTCTTATTGTAACTTCATCATATTTTGAAGGTATAATAGAGAAGCTTTTGCGTATAAATGGTGACCGGAAGAAAAAAAAATGGGAATCATTAAAAGCACTGTTTCTAAATGCAAATTGAAATTTCCAGATCTTTCTGCATCAATAAATCTCAAGAGTAAGCAAATCAATTTGAAATATTGTAGCCAAAGTTGACTTGTAGGGCCATTTGATTCTAATTTTTGTGTAACGGCTAAAAACTTTTCTTTTACTTGAGTAATTAAAGGATCAGACAAATAATCTTCAAAATTTTTTTCTCCAACTTTTTTTAAACCTTTATTCAAATAAACAATTTCATCTTCCCTAAAATCAATTTTTTTAAGAATAATATTGGCAAGGGCAGCTTGTACCAGAAGGTGACCTCTCACAGATCGCGAAAAAGCATGACCCGCTAAAGCTTTATCAGCTGATAAATCTGCATAAACTGTGCAAAAAGCCTCTTTCAGACCGCTGCCAGCCATAATATTACCAATAGCCCCGTTGAACGACATTAATAAATGGAAACCTCCTAAACGTACAATAATTGAGCGCAAATTATGAGGATCATTACTAGGGTTAATGGAATTAACTATTTCATTTGCTTTCATAAAAAGTGGTAAATCGAATGTAACGAAACAGTGCTTTTGATCATTTTTATTTGCTCTTACTCTAGCGTCAATCAAAGCAGTTAATATAGTTCTATGATTACTTGGCGGTGCATTAATAAATGGCAAAGCGATAATTCTTGACGTACAATAATCGGTATTAAATGTATGGAATTTATTCATAAACCCGTGCCAATTAGGAGTAGCCTTTGCTGCGGTATGCTTTCCGAAAAAGTACAATAAATCTATCGGTTCGATTTTAATTGAGAAATCAGTACTATTTATTTCTTTCCAGTCACGAACTATTACGGAATCTAATTTAAAGGGTTTGTCATTTTTAAAATCACTCAGTGGAAGGAAACCGAACGTGCTAACGTCCGTGTCGGATTTACATAAGGCTCCTTTTAAACGAGGAACAGAACTGCTAAGGGCTACAGAGGACCTCGGTGTTACGCTCATTATACCACCCATGCAATGAAATGTGTTTTTTCCATCAATCGTGGCAGTATTATGATCGGCATTATCGTATACAAACTGTAAATACGAGTCAGAAATAATTGTAAAAACTTCCGGGTCGTTAACAACTGAATTTTCAAAGCAAATGGTTTCGGAATAGGAAGCACACAAACCTAAATCATTCAAACAATCGATAAGTCCTCGTGCTGCAAATTTTGTGTGCATCATGCACGAAAGCCCTAATAAAATTGGGGAAAAAAACGATCGCGGTCTAACCGAAGATAATAAAATATAAGCTGCGGTAGTAATTTTATTTTCCAATTTAATCCAAGAACCATTTTTAGGAGTTTTCTTATGCGTTTTTATTAAAATATTCAGAAATAATTTTAAAGTTTCTGGAACATCGTCTTTCACATTATTTCAAAATTCGGAAGGAGAGTTGTAACTATTTAAATTGTAATTCATTGCTCGTATATCTTGCAATATTATGTGAGCGGCCATTTCTATTAATCTCAGTTTTTCTTCTTTCTCATTATTTTTGAGTTTAGTATACCAGGTATCTTCAAGATATGTTCCTAACGTTCGTTTAAAACAAATAAACCTATCGTTACCAGTTGCATAAGTTACTATTTCGTTTCCAAAGTGGTTTATCAAAAGCTGTTCGATTCTATCGAGTCTAGGTAGTTCAGTTTGCTTATTTATCTCTATGTATTTATTTAAAATTTCTTTCAATGAAAATTGACAATCATCGCTGTTTTCTAAAATGTAATTAATTATAAAAGATAATAAATCAGACATCTCATTACTAATCGGTTTTCCTTTTACGTTATTCGGTTTGTACAAATAAAAACTACTCAAACATCTGGCATGATAAGCTACAGTACTAACAGAATAGTAATTATCGTCTTTATGTTTTAAAAGTTGTAAACGCGAATAAATAGTCTTGTTAATTTCATTTTTCGGATATACTTCTAATTGTGCTAATATATTATCAATAGTCAATTGCTGTATAACTTTTTTACACGATAGGTGCGTATGGTTCAATGAATTACAACAAAAAAAACAGTTCTCAGAAAAATCAAAATCCCGGCCATCCTGACGCCTTTTTCGATTTGATCGACAGGCGTCCGAAAATGCTATTAATGCCATTTGAATATTCGATTCTCTCGTATACGTTCTTTGACACGTTTGATGAACAGTGATTTCTTTCAGATTATCTAATATAATATGTTTGTTGTCTTTACGTCTTATACATGCTTGTATGAAATTTTGTATGCCTCGTTCTTTCGCAACGCAGCATTTTGATGCCTCCACAGATTTTCCGCAAAGTAAACAGCAATCGTCAATATCTTCCCATTGTTGCTCACTTCCATCGGGTTCTATTTCATCGTGTCTAAATAAAACATTTATAGACATAAGACAAAAATCAGATATTTTTTATATTTTTTGAGTGATCATGTAATTCATTCGTACCTCACTCCAGCAGACGTTGATGCTTCCGTATCACCTTCTCCGCTCCGCTCCATAATGTTCGCAATATTTTGGAGCAAGTCTTATACTTTTTATTAATTATTAAGTATCTTAAAGTGTTAAATTTAGTGAAAAAAATAACTTCGTTTAAGAAATATCGTGATTTGTTGCACAGAGATGCGACGCACAGTCTATCCACTCGAAAATCTGTACGTTAACTGAGCGCGTGGCGTCACTTTCTCTTCTCGTTTGAATGCCCAACGGTCGCAGCCTCAGTACAATAAAGATGAAGAGAGAAATAGAGAAAGAGACAGAGCGAGAAAGAGAGAGAAAGTATAAGAGAGAGGGAGAAATAGTATTCCATTGGAAGAGAGAAAGAGACAGAGAGAGAGAGAGACAGAGAAAGAGAGAAGGAGAGAAATAGATGAAAAGAAAAGGGAATGGGGGCTGGACCAAAATCCAGCTTCGTAAACATAATAACAACATTTATTTTGAAGAACATCGGAAAGTAATTAATTTATTGATTATTTATAAATTCTAAATAAATATTTGATTTCCCGGAGTTCAGTAGATCCGAAATAAAAAAAAAATTATTAAGATAACATTTATGGTTGCAGAGATATTGAGATGGAAAAATTATAAGAGGGCGCAGCACGCCTCTATTACTATATATGTGTGCCTCTCCTCGGCTGCTGCTCCCCCCACCACTCGAACGTTTCCGTGCGCTCAGCCGTTTTTAGTCGACTTTCCCGGCATTTATCACACACTTGCAAAAATTTAAGTGAAAAACTAGAATATACGTTTTGTTGGGTGGAATCTGCATTTTTTAAAACCGTTTTCAAATTTAAGATGAAAAAATCACTGTCGCAAGGAGAGATGATGAAAAATATCGCTTAGAAAAACTGAAATTACGATTACATGAAAACTATTTACTTCACAGCGTCAGCTTTTGGCACACATGAAGTACATAAATAACACTACATTTTCGCAAAGACTCAGTCCTACAAAATAAAAAGTGACGGAGATATGAATTTTTAAATAAATGTTAAATTTCGCCACTTTTCCGGGTTTTCCTCGGTTCCTAATTATCCGATTTTGTCGCTCGAGGTCTAGTTTTGTTCGTAATTGTTTTACCTACATTTTGTGTACCTATATCATTAACATCGCTACATTATTCGCAGAGTTATTAACAAAAAACTAAAAAAAATGCCTTTTTTTCGTTTAAAATGTTTATAACAAATAGGGTGACAGGAGTTGCGTGTCCAAAACATAACACCAATGATGTCTCAACTTATCTGCACACGATTGCACACTCGGTTTCCAGGTAGTATTTTTGTCATGAAAAAATCCCTGTTGCTTGGCCTATTTTAAGATACGGCCCTCTCAGCTACGTGGTCATCACCTTAGTCCACCTAAGCCGGGTAGTAACACTCCGTTAGAATTCACGGATGAAAGGTTAGCGTTCCATTAGGGTACGGCCAGTTAGCTGGTAGGCATGCGGAATGTAACGAGATCACGAAGTGCGTTTGGAAGTCAATCCATGGACTGCCTTTGATATAAATCCCCTTGGAGATTCCCGCTATTTGAGATCATTATAAGGAGTATAAATTTCAAAATCTAAAGTAATAGTCTTGATATACATCATTCTCAAAGATTTTTGAGTTTCAGGTGCAACCTTAGCTGATTTTATGAAATCAAAATCATGGTATAGAACAAAAACAAAAATTTGTTGATGAGTTAATAATTAATATATTCGTCCGAGACTATTTCCCCCTGAATTTGACAATTTTCCTCTGTTTTAATGAAAGTTTTAGGTCAAGTTGAGCCGACATTTTGGATTTTACATTTCTCAAAACCTGAACATGAAATTTGTAACTAAACTGTAATATTTGACATGAATTTAAAGAGTGTAAATATCAAAATCTTGAGTCACAGTCTCGATTTATATCAATTTTTGGCGATTTTTGGGTTTTTAGAGGCCATCTTGGATTTACGATGTTGGATTTCGCTAACTTGCGTATTCAACATTTTAAGTATGCTAATAACAGACTTTTTTCACCTAAATCCAATTGAATTGGGCATCTTTTTTTTTGTTTTACTAACTTTTATCTGCAAAACCTGGATTTCCGGAAGCTCTATTGAGCTACCATTTTGAAATTTTTGAAAAATCCACACTAGCCCATGAAGAGGGTTTATTGACATTTTAAACTCAAGATCATTAAAATCCATTAACATGAATTTTGGACAAAGCTCTGTTCCGTTTGACGCAGAACGTCACATATGTATAAAAAATATTTATCATGCATATTATGGAAGATATAAATTTGATATATATCTTACCAGTAGCATTAAAAAACTCGATAAGGTAACTGTCTTGTTCAAAAGTAAAGATGTAGCTGTGATGAGATACTTTACTGTATTCGGTTTCATTTGATACTTTCAACTCTAAAAATTGCGGGTGAATATTTTCCAATTCTTCTGAAAAAATAGAAAGTTTATATTATAAAAATTTACAGGTTTATGGGAAATTTTCTCTTCCCTGAATAACAAAAAAATCGCAATCAAATTTGCATGAGTTGAACCCGATGCTTATATATATCATATTTTAAAATAAAACAATGGTAATATACAAGAAATAGGATTGAAAATAATATTTCTTAAATAAATAGTGAAGACTGAATCGCTAATTACTTGAAGTCGTAACTACAAGGCATTTTCTACAATCGAAGTAACACCTTCGTCGCTTGTTTTCGAATATCGTACAAAAATTTGCATTTGAGAATACGTCTAAAAGCTAAAACGATCGTAACATTTGACTTCGCAAGTTCTAAAAAATTACTTGTGATTGTGAATATTGATTATTTTAAACCTCACTTTGCATAGCAGCATAGGCTATTCGAAACCTGATCCGACAACACAGCATATCATTAACGAGAGTTCTTCTCTGGATGTGTGGAAAGCATCGGGGAGCTTAGCTTAAGAAGAAAGGCTTACATAACAAAGTTATTAACATACGAGTGGAAAAAGCAGGCCAGAAATGGGCAAACAAGGACGTCGTGTTCAAAGCGAAAATTCAATATATAAATAAGGCATGTACAGTGCCGTATAGATCATCAACCATACAAACGAGAGAAAGAGAGAGAGAGTTGAGTTAAGTTGAGTTGAGTTGAATTGAGTTAACTTTATTTCACCATGAGGTGGAGCCCTGTCTGGTGTGTTAAAAATACAACAGAGTTATATACGAGGGTCGTTTGAAAAGTCCGTGCAAAAATAAAAACTGCTTGATTTTTTTTAATAAATCTTTTTTATTTTTCAACATAGTCTCCTTTTAGGCTTATACCCTTCATCCAACGCTGCTCTAGGTTGTTAATCCCTTCCAAATAATAGGATTTGTCCAAGTCTGTAAATAAGGCATTCGTTTCTTCAATCACCTCCTCGTTTGAATTAAATCTTTTCCCCGACAGGCATTTTTTCATATTAGGAAACAAATAGTAGTCCGACGGAGCCAAGTTTGGAGAATAGAGGGGATGTGAAACGAGTTGAAACCCTATCTCCATCATTTTTTCGCTCGCAACTGCTGAGGCGTGAGCTGACGCATTGTCCTGATGGATGAGGACTTTTTTGTGGGCCAATCGTGGACATTTCTCTAGCAACTCGGTTTTCAAACGATCCAATAACGATGAATAATATTCGCCTGTAATGGTTTTACCCTTTTCCAGATAGTCGATGAAGATTATTCCTTGCGAATCCCAAAAGACAGTCGCCATAACCTTCCCGGCCGAAGGAATTGTCTTCGCCTTTTTCGGAGCAGATTCCCCCTTGGTAACCCATTGTTTAGACTGTTCTTTGGTCTCAGGAGTGTAGTGATATATCCATGTTTCATCTACAGTGATGAAACAACGCTTAAAGTCTTGCGGATTTTGCTGGAACAGCTGTAAACCATTCTTGCAACACTTCACACGATCTCGTTTTTGGTCAATCGTGAGCAATCGCGGCACCCATCTAAAATATTATGTACCCGTTCGCTCGAGATGCCTAAAAATTTTGAAACCACTTATAAACCATTCTATTCGAAGGTGCACGATCACCATGATGTTTATCAAGTTTCTGTTTAATCTCCTGAGGCGTTTTGCCTTTTGAAAAGTAATGTTTAATCAATACACGAAATTCTTTTTCGTCCATTGTTTACAACCACTCGATTTCTTTGATTGAAACGAATATAAAACGCAAAGTAATTGGCCGATCTGGCTGAAACTTGGTGTGTGCTCTTCCAAGATATGCCACTAACTGAAAATAACCTTGATACGCACTAGTAGTGCCATCTCTCTGACTTTGCACGGACTTTTCAAACGACCCTCGTAAATTCAATTATTAACATCTAGCTTACGCCTCGCTTGAGATATATTTGTATAAATCATCTATAAAAAAGAAAGAACTACGTCGAATTAAAATTACGACAATATAATACATATGATAAATAACAATAACTTAACAATTAATAAACTATGAATAATAACAACAGACATAAGTTTAGACACATTGAATTTATTGATCGCAGTTAAAAATTTAATAGTTTTATAAGATAAGAAGTAATAAGTTATAATTAAAATAGTGACCAGGTATTAAAAACTGACTATTTGAGCATGAAAACTGGGTCACAACGATGGAAAATATAGAAAAAGGGAGACTATTCGTGCAGTCATGGAGACGAGAATGTCAGAAATGACTCTGTTCCTCCATACTTGAGTTTCAAGTGCAAAATATACTACACTCAGCCAGTATTGAATCTAATCAAAGTGATCAATATCAAAATTAGTTATTAGGAGAGAGTATATCAACCTTGTCCGACGTATAGCGAATGATCAGTTTCAGTCCTCAGTGTGAGAAACTGGATACAAGAAAAAACTACGAGGGTTACGCCTACAATTCGGGTGTAAAATTTTGACTTTATATTTTGAGAAATATGTATCAAGGTAATCAGGCTTTGACGTAGATAGTAGTTTAAAGCATATTACCCTAAGAAAATGTAATTGCTTACAAGGAAACCCCCCCAACCCGACCTCACCGATTTCAATAATCTTTTGATATGTTATAGTTCATCAAAAAATAAGACATACGTATTTTTTTTATCGGCGGAAAAACACTTTGAGGGGGTGAAAACAACCCTCAAAGTTCACCCCCCAAAAATAGATTTTCCAATGTATCTCAGGATCTAATTGATATTTTACGACCAAACAAATTTCGTATCACTTCTCATGTGAAAAGCAAACTAGCACATGCAATTCCGACCACAAGGGATGCAACCCTTATATTTTTTATTTAAAATACTATCTATTTCATGGCTATTTTCATGAAAAAAATTAAAATAACCCGAAAACAATTGGAAAAAATATTACCCTACATAAAATACAAAAATAAAGTTAATCTAGTCAAGGTTTTTTTTGAAACTACCCCCTTAAAGTTGAAAAACCACCCCTAAAAAATTGTTTTCAATACATTACAGGTGGTGTTGATAATTTAGTGTAAAATACGTTAAGCATCATTTATACTGTACAAAAACAACTATCTCGTGCAGTTTCGACCACAAGGGTTGTAACCCCTAATTTCTGTCATCGAAATTTTTACCTTCTTTGTACCTATTTTTGAAAAAACGTTCATAATGAGCTTGAAAAAATTAGTAAAAATATTACCGTGGATAGAATAAGAAAAAAAATTTACCTTTTATTTTTAAAACCACCCCTTATGTCGAAAAACCACCCCCAAAAAATTGTTTCCAATACATTACAGGTGGTGTTGATAATTTACTGTAAAATACGTTGCTCATCACTTATAATGTACAAACACATTTATCTCGTGCAGTTTCGACCACGAGGGTTGCAACCCCTAATTTATGTCATCGAAATTTTTACCTTCTCCATTCCTATTTTTGAAAAAAAGTTCATAATGAGCTTAAAAAATTGGAAAAATTATTATCGTGGATAGAATACGAAAAATATGTACCAATTCAAGATTATATCACCCAACAAGACCCAGAAGTGGGACAACGTTTTTCCAAAGTATTTTGTTGCGCCGATTCCGAATCTGTCCGGAAAAATGATCCATCACCCAGTAGCAATTTCTAAAACTCCCCTTATATCCCAATGGCAATTTCCCGCACTAACCCGCACTATCAGAATGCTTACAACCCCCCCTAATAACCCCCTAAAAACCTCCAATGAAAATGCCGTTAGCCCCCCACACTAATAGCCCGAAGACATAGCTGAGCCCCCTTGCAACCTTATGGCAATGCTTGCAACCCACCGAATAACATAATGGCAACGTTATCAACTCTGCTAACTACTGGGGTTATTAGGGGGTTATTAGGGGGAGGGTCTTATTGGGGGGGGGGAGTTATTAGGATGTTAATGGGGGGTTGTAAGCAATGCCATTGGGGGATATTAGGAGGGTTATTAGTGGAGGTTTATTACCATCGCCATTCGGTGATTAGGAGGGTTGATAGCATTGCCATTGTTTTTGTTGGTTGAGTTTTTCTCCTTTCTTGTGACTAAAATTGTAAACTGCCAAGTAATATATATTTAATTGATTTTTATATGCGTTACTATAATTCATTCAGTTACCAATTAAAAACAATCAAAAAAATTAGGACGGATTTATTGTTCATACTTCTTACAATAATGATATTCTTCATAGAAGTGCTCGAAACATAATGATTTTTTGCACCAACCGCAGCGTATAATAGCCACATTTTTGCATCCTTCTATGTCACAATGTGTATTGCAGGAATCTCCAAAACTGTAAGCAACAGGATTGTCAAAATTTTCTGGTTTTTTAGTGAGGTAACCACTCTTGAACCAGGAATATTTAAAAAGATTAGTATATCTTGGTGAAGATAATTGATTGTGGACTAACGACTGAAGTTTAATAATGTTGTTTCTTTTATGTAAATCCAAATCGTAATTCATCAAAATTACGGTATCTGAAAATTGGCGGACAAAGTTCTTCCATATGCGAAATCCAAAAACATCAAGTGGCTGAATTTTTCCCGTTGTGCTAGTCGGGATTTTTTTAAAATTTATAATTTTATCACGTGGAGTTACAGTTTCTATGGCACTGTCACAATGACCGCTCCAGGAGTCAAGCAACAGCATCGTATTGGAACCTACATTAGGGAAATATACTTTTTGCAGCCATATTTTAAAGAGATCTAAAATCAAAAATCTTATTTGTAAAAACATTTATAATGACATTAATTGTAACTAGATGGGATTATGTATACCTGTAGTCAACTTTCCAGATTTAGATGCTTCTACGTAAACATTTTCGGGTCTAAATAAAGTGGTTTCAACAATGGGTCCAAACTCACCGCTAGATTCCTTCAAAACTAAAAAGAGTGGTGACAGTAATTCTCCTGTGGCTGATATGAGTGGCTGTATAGTATAACTGTGGGTTGTTGAAGAAACTGTCAGTACTAAACACTG